ACCCCCCAGTTTCCCCCGGTCCCCCTACTCCACGATTTCCCCTCCCCCATAGACCTCCCCAGCCCCTCCCCCTCCAGCCCCTTCCCCAGCCCCCGCCCCCACGAGACCCCCAGCCCCTCCCCCTCCAGCCCCTTCCCCAGCCCCCGCCCCCAGAAACCCCAGCCCCTCCCCCTCCATTCCCTGCCCCCGCCCCCAGAGACCCCCCAGCCCCTCCCCCATTCCCTTCCCCAGACCCCGCCCCCTCCTACTCCCTCCCCTCCCGTTTCCTCCCCCCCGCTGAGCCTGGAATTTCCCCCCCTCCATCCCGCCCCCCCCGTGGCCGAGCGAGCAGCGCCCGCACTTTAGGGGATCCGCAGCGCCCCCCCCGGCCCCAACCCGCCGCCGCCCGGGGACCCAGGTGAGGGGGGGGGGAGCTGGGACAGCGGATGCGATCGGGGGGGCGGCTGCTAGGACGGAACTTTCTAGCCCCCAAACTCCAGGGAAACTCGTGGGGAGGGGGCCGGGGGGGCAGAACATCTCCACTTTACCCCCCCCCCGGGAGGTTGGGGAGGAGGGATATCCGGAGCAAACCCCCCCCCCCCACGGGCCCAGTGGATCTGAGGACGGACGAGGGGACCCAGAATCCTCACGTGCTCCAGCCCCCTGGGACTGACAAGCCCCCCCCGCCCCCCATCCCCAGCGAGGCGGGGCAGGAAATGGGGGGGGGACCAGGATGGGTCACTACACACACACCCCGGTCAGGGACCAGCTGACAGGCTAAGGGGAACCAAGCAAAAGTGGGGTGGGAGTGAGGGGCGCTGGGGGGGGGGTAGGGCTGGGCTGGTAGGGGGCTGCGGGTTAGGAGTGAGGGGCACCGGCAGGGCCGGGGGGGGACAGGGCTGGGCTAGCAGGGGCTGCGGGTCGGGAGTGAGGGGCACCGGCAGGGCCGGGGGGGGACAGGGCCGGGCTAGCAGGGGCTGCGGGTCGGGAGTGAGGGGCACCGGCAGGGCCGGGGGCGGAGCCCCCCCCCAGAGTTGCTGCCCCCCAACTCCCAGCTCTGCTGTCCCCACAGCTCCTGCACCATGGGCCCGACCCAGCGCTGCCTCCTCTGTCTCAAGGTTGAGCTTTTCATCTTCAATCTGATCTTCTGGGTGAGTCTCTGCTGCGAGCATCTCTGCAGCAGTGCCCTGGGCCTGGGGGAGGGGCTGTGGCTGGGTCCCCTGTCCCCGCCCCCCAGCTGGGTGGCTGTGGGGTGCTGGGTGTGGGGCTCTGGCTGGGTCCCCTGTCCCCGCCAGCTGGGTGGCTGTGGGGAACTGGGCGTGGGGCATGGGGCTCTGGCTGGGTCCCCTGACCTCGCCCCCCCCAGCTGGGCGGCTGTGGGGCACTGGGCGTGGGGCATGGGGCTGTGGGGCTCTAGCTGGGTCCCCTGTCCCCGTCCCCCAGCTGGGCGGCTGTGGGGCGCTGGGTGTGGGGCTCTGGCTTGGTCCCCTGACCCCGCCCCCCCAGCTGGGCAGCTGTGGGGCGCTGGGTGTGGGGCTCTGGCTGGGTTCCCTGACCCCGCCCCCCCCAGCTGGGCGGCTGTGGGGCGCTGGGTGTGGGGCTCTGGCTGGGTTCCCTGACCCGCCCCCCCAGCTGGGCGGCTGTGGGGCGCTGGGTGTGGGGCTCTGGCTTGCTCTCTCGCAGGGCCGGTTCTCCGCACTGTCGCTGTCGCTCCCGTCCCTGGGGGTCGCCGGGCTGGTGATGGCCGCCGGTGCTGTGGTGATGGCCGTGGGCTTCCTGGGCTGCCTGGGGGCTGCCACCGAGCAGCGCTGCCTCCTGCTGACGGTAGGGCCGGGGGAGCGGGGCAGGGTGGGCTGGGGGGGGATACAGAGAGGGAGGTGTGGGTTACGGGTGGGGGAGCAGGCGGGGGGGCTGAGGGGGGGATACAGAGAGGGAGGTGTGGGTTACGGGTGGGGGAGCAGGCTGGGGGGTGGACAGCCTGGTGGAATGTGGTGGAGATGGCTTGGGGGGTACATGGGGGGGGCTGCCTGCAGGGGAGGGGGCACAAGGGGAGTGGGGTTTTGGGCAGGGGGGCAGTTTGGGACCCCCCCCGTTGCCGAGCGGGGAGGAGGGTCCGCCCGGCTGTCCTGGGGGGCTCTGATCCGTCTCCTCCTCCCCCAGTTCTTCATAGTTCTCCTCACCGTTGTCCTGCTGGAGCTGAGCGGGGGCCTGGCCTTCTACGCCTGCCGGGGGCAGGTAAGGGGGTGCCCCCCATCTCCCCACTCCATGGCCCACCCCATGCCCTTCCCCCCACCACATGGAACCCCCCCAACCCCCTCCCCCTGTTTAATGCCCTCCGTCCTCTGTATCCCGCCCTGTGGCCCCCCCCGGCCGACGCACTCTGGGTCTCAGTTTGACAGATACGCTCAGGACGACCTGAAATCGGGGCTGCGGCGATACGGGGCTCCAGGGGAGCCGGCGCTGACCCAGGCCTGGGACACGGTCCAGACCGAGGTGAGCCCCCCCTCTCCCCCAGCCCTGCGCCCCGCAGCACCCCCTGCTGGTCCCCCCCCCCCGCGGTGTCTGACGCTCCCCTCCCCCCCCAGTTCCGGTGCTGCGGGGTGCAGAACTACACCGACTGGTTCGAGGTGCGCAACGGGACGGGGGTGCCCGAATCCTGCTGCCTGGAGCACGGCGCCCCCTGCTCCGGCCTCGGCGCCACCTGGTGGAAGGAGGTGAGTGCCCCTCCCTGCCCTTAACAGTCCCCCAGAACCCACCCAGACACCCCCCACCCCATCTCCCATGGCTCGGCAGGGCTGGGGCACAGTGGATGGGGTGGCTGGTCACTGTGGCCGGATAACGCCCGGGGGGAGGGTGCAGCTGGTCGCTATGGCTGGGTAACGCCTGGGGGGGAGGGGTGGCTGGTCTCTGTGGCCGTATAATGCATGGGGGAGGGGCAGCTGGTCACTATGGCTGGATAATGCCCCGGTCCATATGGCCAGGTATCACCTTGGGGGGAGGGAGCACCCGGTTGGTACAGCTGGGTAACGTCTGGGCAGGAGGGGGTGGCTGGTCAATCCATAGAATATCAGGGCCGGAAGGGACCTCAGGAGGTATCTAGTCCAACCCCCTGCTCAAAGCAGGACCAACCCCAACTAAATCATCCCAGCCAGGGCTTTGTCAAGCCGGGCCTTAAAAACCTCTAAGGATGGAGATTCCACCACCTCCCTAGGGAACCCATTCCAGTGCTTCACCACCCTCCTAGTGACATAGCGTTTCCTAATATCCAACCTGGACCTCCCCCACCGCAACTTGAGACCATTGCTCCTTGTTCTGTCATCTGCCACCACTGAGAACAGCCGAGCTCCATCGTCTTTGGAACCCCCTTCAGGTAGTTGAAGGTTGCTATCAAATCCCCCCTCACTCTTCTCTTCTGGAGACTAAACAATCCCAGTTCCTTCAGCCTCTCCTCATAAGTCATGTGCTCCAGCCCCCTGATCATTTTTGTTGCCCTCCGCTGGATTCGCTCCAATTTGTCCACATCCCTTCTGTAGTGGGGGCCCAAAACTGGACACAGTATTCCAGATGAGGCCTCACCAATGTCGAATAAAGGGGAACGATCACGTCCCTCGATCTGCTGGCAATGCCCCTAATTATACAGCCCAAAATGCCGTTAGCCTTCTTGGCAACAAGAGCACACTGTTGACTCATATCCAGCTTCTCGTCCACTGTGACCCCTAGGTCCTTTTCTGCAGAACTGCCACCTAGCCATTCGGTTCCTAGTCTGTAGCAGTGCATGGGATTCTTCCGTCCTAAGTGCAGGACTCTGCACTTGTCCTTGTTGAACCTCATCAGGTTTCTTTTGGCTCACTCCTCTAATTTGTCTAGGTCCCTCTGTATCCGACCCCTACCATCCAGCGTTTCTACCACGCCTCCCAG